CTAAATTTGGTCCTGCCCTGTTCAATTTTTGGAAAGTTATCCAGCTGATAGACAGACAGACAGACAGACAGACAGACAGACAGATGGACAGAGTCCCAGCACCATTCATGTAATTCTTCTTTTCTTCCTGGGGGGAAGGATGTGAAGGGATGATTTCAATCCCAGGATTTACACATACTGAGATGGATTAAGGGAACCATCTGGCATTAATGGCAAGGAGAAGAATTCATTGATTAATCAGATTGGATTCCATGACAACTAGCAATAGATTGTCTTTTCTGGCAAACATCCCAATGTTCTCTGCCACTGAACACAATGGGAAGGACTTTTTATTAACATCAAAATAACCACAGAGACATCAGATGTTAACTATAATGCAGACTGTATTTCAAATGGAAGTCTTGGATACCAGCATCAACTGCCTAGTCATCTGGAAAGATCTGATACAGGATTTCCAGACACAACTGCTCTTCTGGGGGAGACACCCTTTGCAGACAAAAGGATTTATTTATTTATTTATTTATTTATTTATTTATTTAGGCAGCTTTTTTGCACACTGAAGGTGAGATGCTACCTGACTTCATTTAGTCTATGTCACTGATGACTATTTTGGATTTTGTGATTCTACAAATCCTTTCCTATAACAATTCCAGGTAGATTAACTTTTACCATCCTGGCAGTGTAGAGAGTAAAGGAGCTGACCTCAACAGAGATATGCAGGAACCATTACATAGGCAAAAAGGGCAAAAGTGTTTTTTAAGTCCAGAACTACAAGATAACCTTGGGAAGCACATCTGGCAACACCTCCCTAATTCACAGGAGTGGGAGGAGGTCCAGCACAATCAGCCTAGCAAGATTCTGTTCTTAGAGCCAATCTCAATCAACGTTGTCTTAGACTTCCTGTGGAGTCGTTTTCCTGCTCTGGTCTACTTTGTTGGGCTGATGGGAAGCATCCATTACCTATTCCTGACCTGAGGACACAGAAATTGCACACTTCCCAAATGAGAAAGCATATCAGACTCTCTTGCTCAAAAGAAAGGAAATTGCCCCTTTAATGTCAACCCTACGAGGCAGATCAGACCAAGAAACAGATTCCATGAAAGATTAAAAACTACTTTTATGGAGACTGGCTCTAGTAACATAATCTGGGAAAACAGATTGGGCTTCTCCTTTCTTCTTCTTTCATATTCATGTGAATTAGGGAAGTGTCTCCCTGAGACGTTTTCATAATCCTCTCCCAATGTTTGGACTCAAGCCATGTTTCCCTTTTTCTTACAGGTAACAGATCTTCCTTCTGTCTCTTTGCTCTCTAGAATTAACAGGCTGAAAATCACGCACTTGTGCCAATCACAAAATTGGTACGACAAGATCCAAATATTTCACCACCACCACAACCTCCAGGTGGTTACATTTTTACAGGCACCAATTCCCACAAAAACATATAGAGCACTCTCAAGAAATAGGAGGCTAACAAGATAACTTCCGTGTAAGATCCTGTTCAAAGCTTGGAAAGCAACAGTTGAATCTATTTAGAACACTTGGGGTTGAGGGCCTCAGTGGGAAATACTACTGATAAGAACAGGTTTTACTCCCACCAAATCCTGGATGGCTTTTATTAAGATTGGCTCTAGTAACATAATCTGACAATTCTAATTGGGCTTCCCCTCATCCTTATACCCATGTGAATTAGGGTGGTGCCTGCCCTAACCCTAACCCTAACCCTAACCCTAACCCTAACCCTAACCCTAACCCTAACCCTAACCCTAACCCTAACCC